ACTAAGGTAGTGTACTATTGATGAGCTCAGAGACAAACATCTAAAAACACTTTTTATTAATATGCAAAAAAAATCTGGTATTGAAAAAGATTTTGGTTTTACAGAAAAATGTACCCAACAGCATAGTTGTTACCAAGGCTATTGCACTGGACATAATCAAAATGTTGTTAGTATTTTGTTGTTTCCAGATTTGCATAACTTCAGAAGCCACATCCTATTCCTGTATTTTGCTATCATAAAAAAAATAAATAAATAAAAGGTATGCTTAAGAAAAAGACCATGTTGTTATCCTGTGGCAAATTCACCTCCTCTTCTCCATGACAACAGAAAAAAGAAGCTGTAACCATGGTAACAGTAATGGTCCAGAGAGATTAGGGCCAGGCTGGAGATTAGGCCTCCAAGAGCAAAGAAAAGAGGTCCTGATTGGTTCTTTATTGAGACCTTATTTGAAGACAAGTTACTGTTGAGAGCAAGCATGGGGGATTAGCACGAACAAAATTAATTCTGCTGTATAAAGTAAGAAGCCATTCCTTTGTGAAAAAACGTGTCACTCCTTTTTCATATAACGACTGTTTAGATTGAAGTAAAGAGTCTGTGATTAATTCTATTCTGAGCTTTATCTGAGCCATCTGAGTCTGGTCCTGCTTTGTCAGAAGCGACTCCCTCAAGCCTAGAGAGGACAGCGGCTATCTGTGTGCAGACTGCCCTTTCTGCTCCTTGGCAGGCTCTGGGTGGGTCCGGATGGCAGATCATTTTTGATGATGGTACCCAGATGTGGGAAAGTGATTGGAACACTTTTCTTTACCCTTTTGCAACTTGTTTTTCTAATGTTCAAAAAATTCTCACAAAGGTTTCTCCATCATGTTTTTAAAAGTTGTTTTCTAAAGAACTTGAGTGAACATCTCGTTTTCTTTAAACTAAAAAATTTGTCTTATGACTGTTTATTTTTTTTTCATATTAAAGGATGTTGTCCAATTGACTCCCAAAAAGTTGATACTCATACAAACCCACTGACCATATATGAGGTGCCACACACTGGCCCATGTGAGCTGTTAGGGAATGAAGGTGATGTACTTACTATTGGTTAGCCCAGAGACAAATAGAGGTCTAAAAACACTATACGTTAAACATGTGAAAGAAAAGATCTCTGATATCTAGAAAGTATGTGGCTTTATAGAAAATTTAGCCCAATAGCATAATTGTTACCAAGGTTCTTTAACATTGGACATAATCAAAATATTATTATATTGTTGTTTCAAAGCTATGTATTCTTTGGACTGAATTCACTTTGGATATCACCTCCTTTTCCTGGATTTTGCTATGATAAGATTTTAAAGTCTTGCTACTAGGACAGGGAATTTTTAGCCTTCATTTAAAGGCATATTTATTTTAACATTTGTCACTTTGGTTCTTTCTTTTGAATACAGGCATTTATTATTTTATTGGTTTGACACATTCTCCTCTATTATAATGGTAACTATTGTCTATTAAGTATTTTGCAAATGCTTTGATTCAATCTTTCTGATGGAAAAAGCACCTAATAAGACAAGAGGGAAAGAAGGAGTTAAGTGATGAGATGGGCATGTTACAGCAGGGGAACTGCTTGAGAGAAAGTTTTGGCATCTCTGTGGCTTGTCCTACACTGGCTCCCTTGGTCCCCAATGGGATTGCCCTTAAGTTTCCCCCACTGATAACCATCTAAGTAACTCCTAGTGTTCCCACTTTGCCCTATTTTACTTCTCAACTCCCCCCCTTGGTGTTCTGGGGTCACTTCCTAAATAAAGTGTCTGTCTCTTTTTTTCTGAGGTCCAGTTCAGGAGAGAACCCAAACCAACACCCATGGGGCAGAAGCCAGGCCAGAAAACTGATTAAGGAATTTGGAGTTTGCCCTTGGGATAAAGGGAGGATATTCAGGGCAAATAAGTGGCTGAGTGACATGAAAACAGAGTATGTGTATAGGCTTATTCTAGATGCTCTACAGAGCAGATACTCAAGGAAGGTGAATTTGTCTCGAGGCAGAGTTGCCTGGAGACAATCGTGGCAATTCCGGTGAGAGAGCAGAGTGCTGTGGACACAATGTGGCAGGACAGGGAGATTTCCAAGATGTCCAGAAGGGGCGGTTCTAGAATGTGCTGAGTGGGAAAGAGTCAGGAATGGAGGATGCACGCTTCAGAGGACCACGTAAACACAGCTAAAAGAGTGGCCCAGGAGGTGAAGCAGCCTGAGAGGGGGAGGGAGAGAATAACTTCAGTTCAGCGTGCTGGGTTAAAATGTCTATTGTATGGGAAAGTAAAGGTTGTTGTCAAGAAGCTTAACATCAGCCATGTTTTTGACAGAAGCTCCATGTCCAGACGTCCTTCTTCTCCCCTCCCGATGCCATCACCATTCTGCTGCAAAAGATTGACTAACTCACTGCCAATCTTCCATTTATTTCAAATACTGTGCTGATCAGGCAAGCACAGGGAGATTTTTATCTACAAAGAAGTAGTCAAAGAATCTATGGGGCCAGAAATCACTTTGAAAGCTTTCTGTCATTCTTTAAAATCTCTCTTTCTTTGTATAACTTGTAAGAATTGTAAATTGATAATGTTTCTGGAACCATTGGAAAATGAGGTCTTCCACTCTCCTCCACACAAGAAAGGATTTTCCAGCTCACAGAAGTTTAGTTCACAGCAGGAATACTGACTCAGCCAGCTCCTGTGTAAAGTGAATGTAAGAATGGAGACTGATTTTGATAACGACTAGAGAAAATGGTCTGCCTATAAAAGCCAGTGTGAAGATTATATGTAGGTGAATGTGTATTTGTAGTTTGGAGCTAAAAATCATTCGAGCAGATGAAACATATATTCTCTGGACTGGGGGAGTTGAACAAAGAAAACAGAGGTATCTAGCAAAGATGAATTCCAAATTCACACATGCAGACACACCCACTGTAATTAATAGAAGAATTATTTTACAGATTATAGATGCCTCAAATATTTGAAAGCCAGTTTTCAGATTGTGGATGATTCAGAGTAATTCCTATGAATAGCCCTTGTTAAATTCTGCTATAAATACAGTGATTCTTTATAGGGAGAGGGCAATTGTATATCATTAGGTCTTGCAGAAATTTTTTCTGTTGTCTGCATTATTAGCAGGTAGTCCATGAAAATTTCTATTTTTTTTTGTTAGTTCCCATCAGCTTCAAACAACATATTATTAATATTATTTTTATTATTGAAAGTAATATTTTAATTTTTAAAATAACAAAGAATGTAATAATAATTGTGTATACATTTATGAGGTACAATGTGATATTTTGAATATATATGCAATGTGATATGATTGGATAAAGTTATTAATATGTATCAGTTAACTCACCTATCATTATTACAGTGAAAGTTACTATTTTAAAATATGCAATACATATTATTGACTATAGTCACTCTTCAGTGCAATAGATTTCAAAACTATTTCTCTGGACAGAAAGGCAAATACAGTATGATCTCACATCTATGTGAAATCCAATAAAGTTGAGCTCATGAATGTACAGAGTAGAATAGGAGTTACCAGAACTGGGGAGGAAGTAAATGGGAAGATGTTAATCAAATGGTGCCAATATGCTGATAGACTTCAACTTTTAATTTGCTGTTTTTAATTCTGTGTCATTCTAAAAATACATAAATAAACTACTTTGAATTGTATCAATCTGAACAAAAAGTCCTGAGTAGATTAGGGTTTCATGTAGCTACGTCGTTACCCAAGGCATTTACTCACTCAGTTGTGTGGTAAAAGGCTGGCATCCCAGGGGTTGACCTCCCAGTTACAGTGTTACTTCAAGTCAGCTTATGTGCACCTGCTTGCTCTGTGTCTTCCCTACTGTCAAACACCTTTGAACAATGAAATCAGTATTTTAATGTAACAACTTGTTTACAGAATTTCCTTAAGTGCAAGAAAAGAGGATTACAGTGTTTGTCGGAAATCAGATGACTTCACTGTTGATTAAAACTCTATAATCACATTTTTTCTAAAGTATTCAAACATTTGTAAATCTCTGGGAGATTATGCCCTTTTCTTTTGCTTTCAAAAAGACTCAAAGATTAACTTTGACAAAATGGTCACTGTACATTGGATTTTATATTTAAAATATCTTAAATTTATATTCTGAATTATAATAACTTTTTTTTTTACTTCAAATACGGACATATGAGCCTGGTACAGTAATCCCAGGGGCTGGGGAGACAGGAGGATCACAGGTTCAAGGCCAACCTCAGAAATTTAGTGATACTCTCAGCCACTTAGTAAGACCCTTTATCAAAAGAAAGAAAGAAAGGGCTGGGGATATACCTCAGTGGCAAAGTGCTCCTGGGTTCAATGTCCAAAGCTAGAAAAAGAAAATAGCATACACACACACACACACACACACACACACGAGGGTGGATGGATAGATAGATTCATTCATTTATGTGTTCGTTCTGCCATTCATTCATTCTGCCTCCCTCCAATAAAGACTCAGAGAAATGTACTAATTACGTAAAATAACTTTGTTGTGCTTTCAAACACTGATATGCCTCTTATTCAAGATAATTTTGTCATAATTTGATGCCATAAGAAACATGATCCTTTTACAATATGGAATTATATACACATGTCCATAGTGAGGTCTGTCTGGAACTCATGTGTTGGTTAAAAATTCACATTACCCGATTTCTTTCCCTATTTTTTGCCTAAGAAGACTTTGATTTTCTTTTGTCATGAATCCTGTAAGTAATAAAAACTGGACAGATACACAGTGCAACACTTTATGCTATTAATTAGCTACCGTTTTGAGACCTAATGAGTTCAAATATATCTTAATTCCATTTATTCTTCTTCCCATTGTTTCTGTGCCTTCCTTTGGGATCTGTGTGACAAGGGAGGGCAACTTGCCTGTGCTTGTCTGTAGTTCAGCTCTGTCTGTCTGATTCCCACTTGCAGCACCAAGACCTCTGACAGCACCCCACCCCCTTCTTTCTCCTCAGCCATGCCAAGCTCCAGCGTCCTCCCGTCTGCTCCCAGGGACGTCGTTCCTGTCTTGGTCTCCAGTCGCTTTGTCCGTCTCAGCTGGCGTCCACCTGCTGAAGCAAAAGGAAACATTCAGACCTTCACTGTCTTCTTCTCCAGAGAGGGTGACAACAGGTAGGTGCTACCAATAAATCTCAGCTTCATCCACCTCCACCGTACTCTTAATGCACACATGGGTTTTGGCAGTAGGAGGTCTTGAGCAAGACATTTGGAGACCCTGAATTCTCTCTTCTGTCCTTCCTCAATGCTAAATGGATAGGTGTGGTTTATAAAAGCAGCATTGTTCACAGAATAAATTAAATCATTTACATACACTTGCCTTGAGAAAAAGGCAAGGATGTGCTCTGTGATATCAAGTTTTTATTTCCTTGATTTCAAAGTGATAAACAAAATAACTAGGCTAGGCATTAATAGAACAAAGTATAAAGAGAACCACGTAGCTAGTTTGTAACCCCAACTCTATTGTTGATGTTATGCCATCTCAACAATGACCTTTCTCAGTCTTATTCTACTCTTTAATAAGGAGAAATAATAATTATCCTTGCCTTGCATGATTTTTGTTAGGATAAAATTAAGGTTGGTTCTTATGAGCCATAGCAGAAATCCCTAGTATTTGGTAGAAATCATTGTTGTACATCCTATTTTTGACTAGGCAACAGTGAATTGTATGTGACTGCTTTTAAGATAGCCATTGTCTGTTTGGGTTTTTTTAACTAATATTTTCTTCTTAAAATATATCACCATGTTAAGATTTTGAAATTTGGTTTTTAGATCTTAGGTAGATCTTGGGTGTTGGCTAAGTTCCACCTGGGGAGGAATAGAGATTCCTGTGCTAATCCTCTAGCCTCTGGATGTGTGAGTGCTTTGAGCACACAGCTATCTCGAGGAATTCCTCAGAATTCACAGGGTATCAGATGGGTGTCCTTGAGAGAGTCCAAGATGCTGCAGTATGATCAAGTGGTGCAAAACAACTCTACTCACTCTGGGCCCCAAAATGATTTTCTTTCTAGATGACAGAATAGTTAAAGTATATCCTTTGAAAATTCCTATTTTTCATTTGCAGTTTGACCTGACTTTAAAATGAACAAAATAGAGAGAAACACACAGCCTAATGCTAAGATCATTTATTATCTTATTACCAACAGCATTTGCTTTTGTCCTCTTTCTGCAACTAATTCCGCAACATTATGGCACCTCGTAGGACTTTTGGACCTTAGTGTGTGCAATTGTGAAGCCTGGGGTCATAGATTTTGCCCAATCATCTCCATGCATGTAGCTGGGTTTCCTGGAGGCACATTTAATTCAACATGCCCCGAACCACACTCGCTGTCTCCTCTTTAAATATGTTTTCCCATTCTTCCCGTAGTTTATGTTAGTACCTTCCCTCCAGCTGACCAAGCAAAAAACAGCTGATATTTTACTCATTCCTGCCTCTCACCACTGCCATTCATTATCAAGGCCTTTCAAGTCCACCTCGGCTCAGTCCACTGTGCATCCTTTATTCTTACTTTAATCTTCACTCACCTGGTCTCTGGAAATATCTTCTTGCCGTCCAATCCATCCTCCTTATGTTCAGTAGTTATCTTTTTGAAATACAGTTAGGATCACTCACTCGCTGCTGAAAAAATGTGAATGTTCTTACATTTACATATAATGATATTTCTGTGTAAACACATGCACAGAAACTTCCATGTTTCTTTGAATGGAAGTCTAGCCCCAATCTATACATAGGTAGAGTGTGGTTCCTATAACGCAAAATGTTTAAAAATATTCCACAAAAGTCCACCTGGCTGGATTTGAGAGTGTTCTTACCATTGACCCGATGTATTAGTCATGAACAAAACAAATAACACCTCTCCTTTAGAATGGATGAAAACATAAGTGCTACCTCTCAGGCTTCCCATGATTGCCAACGGAGGGAATTCAGGTAAAGCATCCAGGGCGGTCACTGCACACAGGTAGAGCAAAGGGGTTGAGAATGGTGTGAACTGAGACACTGAAAGAGAAACTGAGAACAAGACTCAGAGGAAGGAAGATGAAGAAGGAGAGGAAGAAATATTTTTGTGTGAATCATTTATTTTCCTAACTGCTCAGTTTCCTGTTTATAAAATTAATTTATCTTTTCCTCTTCTATCAAAATCTTCCTTATCTTTTAAGCCTGAGCATCAGTCCACCATTCCCCAATGGTCTCTCACTTCCAGGGTCACCACGGAGTCCTCATCTGCATTCATGAAAGTGTCTGCATTATCCCCATTTCAAACACCCTCCTCTGGACTCACACTCCACACTCTCCTCTTGCCATCTTTCATGTTGATCTTTTCCTGCAGAAAACCTTTGGTTCCACAGGGATTTATATACTTCATTGATCCTGTGGTGTTTTCCTGTCCCTCATCCTTCCTGTTTTCCTTCACTCATTATACAGTTAAAATTGCACGGGCAATTTTAAACCCGTGCTGATGCACACCCATGTGATGGTTTCCACTCTCTTATTTCATATCACTTGTGTAGCAAAATCTAACAGGCAAATATACCTCCCCATCAATCCTGGGGGTCATGTCATTGAATCCAGCTCAAGGAAAGGTATCCCTGGGCCCACTCACCTCACTTTAGTTAGTAGCTTCTAATTTGCCTCTTGATGCCACTGAGATTTAAGCTKCAGTCATGTCAGCCTCTCTCACATGTACTCCTAACCATATTTCATGCCTTTCCCCCTCTTCTTGCATGTTTAACACTTTCTTCATTTTCTTCTTTCTTTTTCAACCTTATTTGTGCTTTCCTGGAAAATCAGAAAGGAAGTGCTACAAGATTCCAGGCCTGATTTATCTACCCCAATGAGTTTTTAAGCATGCAATCCGTATTTCCTTAAGTTTCTATTTAAAAAAAAAAAAAAAAAAACTGGGGCTGGGGATGTGGCTCAAGCGGTGGCGCGCTCGCCTGGCATGCGTGCGGCCCGGGTTCGATCCTCAGCACCACATACCAACAAAGATGTTGTGTCCGCCAAGAACTAAAAAATAAATATTAAAAAAAAAAACTGCCTATAATTTTCACCAAGGCTGAACTTGGTATTAGAATTTATCCTTTCATGAAACATGGGAGAGCACATCTTCTGCCATTTTTCTCTCCTACATCATTTTCCCCCAATTGGGGGTAATATCTATTAGCATAGAAGAATGCAGTTGTATCTTCCATTGCTACAAATTCTCCCTTGATGCTACAGCTCTCTCCTCCACTGCTCTATGCTCTTCTTCCTTTTATAACAGTGTGTCTTGAATTGTCTAGCCACTCCACACCCTCCTATTCCAATCATGACTTTGCCCCTAGTATTTCCTTGCACATGTTCTCTGATCAAGATCCACCAATGACCTCCATGTTGCTAGACCCTGTAGTTAGTTCCTGGTCCTCATATTACTTGGCCATCAGCAAGCTTTGTCTCATCTGATTACTGCCCTTTTCATGATATTCACTTTTCATTTGGTTTCCATTACACAAGCTCTCCTAGGGCTACTCCAGCCCCCTCCAGCCGTTCACTTTCGAGTTCTTATACATTTAACTCCCAGTCTCCTTGATCTGTGAATATGGAATTACCCCAGGACTCAGGCCTGAGGGATCTCTTTTCATGCACTTCATAACTTCATATTCTATCCATGACTTTATACTGATACAAATCTAAATTCATATCTCTGGTCCTAAAATTTTACCTGCTGTAAAAACTCATATATCTATTTTCTTACTTGACTTATCAAGATGTCCCATGGTATCTGGAATTTATGGACACAACCAAATACCTCTTTTCCTTTATCTCCAACTCTTCCCACCAAATCCATACCATTCCAGAGTTTTCATCCATATTTTTGAAATTTCACCATTATCATGAATCAATCCAAGATTGTTGGATTAATTCTTAGATTCTTTGTTTTGTTTTGTTTTTTTCTTTTCACACTCTATATCAAATGCATCAGTAAATTTTGTCAGTATCATCAAAATATGTTTGAAATCCATGAACCTATATGATATCTGGTATTTTCTATAAAATAAAACAGAAAGAATGGCTACGATTTCACATTTTTGGCTGAGTGTTGGGCACAGAATAGTTCATCCTGTTATTCTAGTTTACTATTGCTTCAGTTTTACAATATAAACTAAGATCAGGTAAGCAAATGAAAATAAAACATATACTGAGTCCTAATTCTCCTTACCCCTTCTTAAGGTATGATTATGTCTCATCAAAAGTTATTACTGTAACCAGCCAATTCTGGCCTCACCATAGCAGTTGAGTCATCCATTTAAAACACAATTTGTATAATGTCATTTCTCTGATTCAGAGCCCTCTAACGACTTCCTGTCTCATTTAGAAAATTAACAGAAAACCTTCCTTCCCTGGCCCCTTGTTCCTCCTCTGCCCTCATCGCTCACTGTTCTTTCTGTTTTCCTGTTTGCCCACTCCTGTCCTGCCTCACTGGCTCCCTTCAGTTTGCCCTCTATACCAACAGGCTCTTCCCTTCATATATCTGTATTTGCTTTGAAGCTTGCTTAGACTGTCCATTGTACCCTAGACACATACGTGGATCATTCCCGAACCTCCACTGAATCTTTGCTGAAATGTCACCTTGCCTTTAAGGTCTTTCCTGGCCCCCATCATTTCCTGTGTTCTTTCTCTCCACCAGAATATATTTATGTGAAAAGGGTTGTTTTGATCTCTTTTATCTACTGAGCTATTTTTAGCACCAAGAGCAATGCCTAACACCCAGTAGACCCTAAAGGTTTGTTGAATTGAAGCCCTAACTGAAATGTCAAGTACTATGTGAAAGTTTCCACAGTCCCGCAATTGGCTTTTCCTTTATCCCTTCCCTTCATGTTGACTGCATTACTACTATGATATTTTACATCATGTTTTATAGTTTATGTTTGGTCAAATATATATGTATATATTCCCTCCCTAATGTTTGAGAATAGGGCTTATTCCATTCCATACCCAAGTGTGGCACCATGCTCCATGTAGAATTTTACTGATCAGAGCGGATAGGGTTAGGATCACAGAGAAATAGGTGTGATCCTCTTAATAAATATTTTCCTAATAAACAAATTGTTAAAATAAATTGTGTTACTGAACAGCT